TACTACATGCTGAGTTTAGTCCTAGCTTATCCTCTTTTCTGAGTAGTTCATACTATTTCAGTGAGAAAGTATAAGAACAATGTCTTTTATTCTTTTCTGTTAAGAATTTATATTATACAACCTTTATTTAAATACGAATTGATGATAAAGACAAGACACATTTCCCCGAGATCAAAAATACATAGATTCGTCGCTTCACATCGATTCGCATACACAAGACACGTTTGGCTTGTTGTGTAAATGCTCACAGCCATCCTCACTGCGCCCATCCCCCCTCCGACATACACGTGCACACAGAAAGGTGAGAGGTTCGCCGCTATTTTCTTTGTATCTGAATCGATGCCAAGAGCCGATTTTTACTACCTCATAGAACTGCTTCTTGTTCTTTGACATCAATTCGTATTTTCGAATTAGCAAAAATGAAGGCGAAGACAGGTGAGAACTATCCGAATCGGTGCGAAGAGACGAATCTATCTATCTATCTTTTTTTGTTCTTCAAGAGAACTTTTTCGACTAACCAGTGTGAACAGAAATCCCAACAGAACAACCTCAAGTGAACATAAAAATTATAAAGATCAAAATTGTATTCGATCAGAAGAGCACAATATAATGTTACTTTTATAGGTTGTATTAAAAATAATTGTTGAAAAAATCCCGTAAACAATGTTGTTAACCATTTTTGTGTTTTAACATTTTCAAATTGAATTCCCCGAATAATAATAAAGAATGCTGATGTTAGAATGATTACAAATGAGATAGTGTATGCAATGTAGATGCACCACCATGGAAATGTTCGTTCCGTTTTGTCTTCCATTTTCTTCCTCTTCTTGTCTTCAACAATTCTGTGAGCAGGAAAAGGGTAGGACAATGCATTGTCTACATCTTCGCTTTGTTGTACTTAGTAGTTTTCATTCGTTGTACTTACTCTGTACCAATACCATTCAAACTGCCATTCTTCCGACTTGAGCTGTCCGTTATATCAACTTTTTCTGTTGGACGTGGTTTGATTCGACGAAATAATTCAAGTAATAAAATTCCAGGTGCTACCGCTAACAGATCGACTACTAAACTAACTCCGATCTAGAAACATGAATATCCATAATTATATATAACTGCCAGCAAATATAGATCTTCCTAAACCAATCACCTGTTCTTTTGAGAAACGAAATGGACCCAATGTCCATCCATTAGTGTCGGCAGCTTCATTCTTCTGATCATAGTAGAGTATACTGAGAAGCATCGAGAAAAATAGTAACACAAAACAACATGTACATCGGTGTACACATGTAAATGACATTGACGAGGTAGAACGCAGAAAGATGGAAAACCACAGATGATCATCATTCATTGTTTGTGTGGCTTTCTTCTGTAAAACATGCGAAAATTGTTGTTTTTCTTCTTCAGAAGCAATCCACAGTAATTTGTCAACCTGTTTAAATAAAAAACAAGGTTTAAAATTCATAACAGAGAAGTGTAGCATAATTGCTATTGCTAGCATTTACCGATCCGTCATTTTTCTCGATCGCTAACCATTGTTGGCAAATAAAATGAAAGTTGTCGTTCGTCTGTAAATCTCTTACAATAATATATTTGAGAAACCAACCATCAACAGAGTTATCATGCCAAATACGAATGTAGTTTAGTACCCCAAGTGGTCTGTTTGAAACAGAACAGAACAAGACTTTATTGCATATTGTAAGTGCTGATATCGCTTACAGACTTACTTCGGGACAGACATAACGAAAGCATCAATGCTACCACGTTGAAATATTTTACGTTTCGAATCGTCTAATGGACGAATATCGGTGTGATCATTGTCACCGGAAACAATCAAATACACCTGCAAAAGGCAGCATACGATGAGTGGGAACATTTTTCAACAATAATTCAAAATTTACTTTTGATTTCGTTCTCGCGTTTCTTCGATGACCAGTAAATACGATAATCTGATAGTAATACTTATCATTGGGATGGTTATCAGCTAATGGAGCGACACCAAGCTAAACAAAGAACGTTTAGCAGTTGATTGTAGAGTAGGGGTGTTAATTTAGTGTTACTTTGGAAAATAAATGTAAATGAATCATTTATACTTAAAAAATAAATATAAATAAATGAAAAAAAAATTTATCTTTATTTTATAAAAGTAAATGATTCCTTTA